CCCCAAAACCCCAAAACCCCAAAACCCCAAAACCCCAAAACCCCAAACTATTAAAAATTATTGAAGATGAAGAAGTTCCTGTGAGGCTGAACTATTTATCAGGGTGTTAAATGGATCTGTTATGAGGCTTATTTCAGCTGAGTACTTGGTTGTTTGATCCTATTATCATTATTAGCTTCGAAAGAAGTGCACTCCTCCATTATACAGCTTATAAGACTTATCTTAGTCCTTCAACCCAGAGTTTTTGCAGCTATTAGGGTACAGAGATCAAGTTATGATCCCCTGAGAGTGAAGAGCTTTTGAATTATATACATAATCACTTCTGTTTTGTATATTCTGATCCGATTAGTTGATATTATCAGTAGGTCATTTTCATCTTATATATAGTTCTTTTTGTAAAACAAGAGTATTTTGCTGCAACCATTTGGATAATTATGACAGGTCTGGGAACGTGGCTTAATTATTACTTTATCACAATATTAAGCACTTATTATAAGGAGCCTGAATATCAAATTCAGAACATGGCAGTTGTTCCAAACCAAAGAGTCTCTGTAGTATCAGTCAACCAAATGGATCAGAATCCGGGAGGATTTCCTCAAGCGAATAACTTTACTCCTCAGAATAATTATCCGAATAATCAAATTCAACTCGATAACCCTCCTCCTGCAATGATAGCAGAGGGAATCCCTATCCAAGATCTATCAACTTCTAATCAGAATTATCACATCTATGGCGTCAACCAACAAGTGAATGTCGCTAACAGTCCAAATAGAGCAGGAATGTAAGCCCTATTTTGCCAACTTTTATGTTGTTAACTGATCAAACCCTGCAACTTTTAAACAAAGAATGAATACTTTATTTCCCCAAGTTTCCTCTCACAATTTCACCTAATTCCACATTATAACCATAATAGAACGGATGTAAGCAAAAGTATCAGTAAGAAGGATTCCAGAGAGATGGAAGACTCAGAAGCGATCTAAAGATAGGCTGTAAGCCTATTCTGGAAGAGTCATTTTTGTTCCTATAATTCAACAACAATTTAGAGCTTTGGGGTTTTGGGGTTTTGGGGTTTTGGGGTTTTGGGGTTTTGGGGTTTTGGGGTTTTGGGG